ATAATGTGTCGAAAAATATTTGGAAACCATTATTTGCGATAATTTAAGTTAGAATTCTACTAAAACAATTAGATTATTCCCTCTCGATTTCTATGAGGCGATAATTGATGAGGCCGAAGGCTGATGTTTCTGGTGAAATCTAAGAGGCGATAGTTGATGTGGCCGAAGGCTGAATCAACTATCACCTCATAGAAATCGAGAGCGAATAGTCTAATTGTTAAATAGAAACACGAGTGGAAGTTTGGGAGAACGAGAAATGCTGTGGGAACACGAGCCACAGGCGAGCGTTTCCACAGCTTTTTCGAGTTCTCCCAAACTTTCACGAGTGTTTCTATAACTCGATAGAAACACGGAGAAGTTTTCTATTTCTTTTAGAAAACACCGCGACGAAAAAAAGGAAAACAGCTTGTTAACTTTGATTATCAAAGTGTAAATTCTCTTTGCTCGCGCCATCATTACGTCATCAGCTCGTGCTAGTTCTGTGTTATAGAAACACGATTTTTAACCCATCCGCGCGCGTATTTTCTTAGGACTGTTTTCTAAAGTGAAAATAATAAACTATAAAAGAAAAAGGATGGTTAAGGATGGACAAGATTAACACGGATTACTATCGATGAACTTGAGTAGTTTAGGTTAAAATTTTCAGGATGCCAAATAAAGAACAAATAAAATTAATAGCATGTACCCCCAATTCTAATTTGCGATCAGAAGTTCCTTCTTTTTTTTAGTTTGTCTGTCTATTTGTTTGCTTGTTTCTTACCCCACCCCTTCAAAGCAATGTGCTTATTTGTCTTAACCAAGCAATCAGGGCTTGGGACTCGTGGGTTTCACTCTTCTTATTGGTTGGTTGGTGATAATATGGAGCTGCTTCATCACCGGTAGTGAAAGACATGCTGACCATTCTACAGGGACGAACACAGACAAGTTAACTCAGCCATTTAAAAACCTCTGTAAGTATCAAGAATCAAAACCAAAAAACTGCAAAGATCTTTTACCAACTCTACTTGAGCAGCCCTTCAACTTTTCTGGTAAATTGCACATCTTTTGCCGATAGGTCAAATAAATATGAAGAAACATGCGAATTACATTTTTGTAGTTTGTTAATTAAATACTCTAATAGCTCTAACATTATTCGGCCAAACCTTCATGGTTCAGTTGTGAGAAAACAACGGCAAGTATAATTTCTAGCTACAATAGCTAGATGATGCAAAGCAAAATCCGCGAGCAACAAGGATTGGACCGTGTTTGGCTCATGTGGGCTCCTTCCACTGATTCAAAACAAGTTGTATTATTACGTGATTAATATTGAGCCAAAACTGCTGAATCATTTGTTTCCCTGTTACCTACACAAGATAGACAAAACAGCTGCAATCGACATGGACACCGTATATCAAATGTTTGTTTGCTTTCTTCACAGGGGACATCATAACAAAGCTGTGGCGAAAACAAGATCATGGCTATGTTCACACGTCATGTGAACCGACAAGAGACAACGAACTTCATCTGACAAAGGGTCAGAGGATAAAGGACATTGTAAAAGTGGACGACAGTGACGGATGGTATGAGGTAAGAAACCGAATGACGCCTTACCTACAAAGCCATCAGTTGTCTCCTCTGAGAAGACATTGCTCACGGCAGATAGACAGACAAACCTTCCGACCGACCGACAGACAATCTTTATTTAAGCACGATTAAAATTAAAACTTAGTACCTTATAGGGTCGTGCGAAAAAAAAAAAAAGAATTAAAATAAACTTCGCACAAAGTATATACACGATAGATAGTCTACTTTAACTTTATAACAATTTTAACTATTCCTTACTATCACTACTCTTCCTTAGGGAATTTGTTTTTTAATTTCTTTTTACGCAATTATATGTTGTGAAGTTTATATGAAATAATTCATATATGAACTGCGGTTGTGGATGAAAGTGAAGAATGATCATCGCAGTTAGTTTTTCCAATTTAAGCAT